CCCGTTTATTTCCTCGTCTTTCATTTCCGTCAATTTTTCTTGTCCGTCGAACCCGTTGTCATTTTGCTCGCGCGTGGCCGACGAACGCGGCGTTGCGTGCGTGCGTGCGCGCGCGAACGTAGCTGGCTCGTACGCAGCGGTGGACATTTTTATCGTCGCGAGGGGAGGGAGGGAAGAATGGCGGGCCTGCGTTCATTAACAGATTCGTCGCCGGCTAGAACGGCGCCTCGGGAACGCGAACAATGTCCCCCCGGGGCCGGGGACAATAAACGGCCGGGCAATTTCGGGAACCATTCTAACCGGCGCGCCCGCGATAATAATAATAATAATCGCGGAGCCAATGGAACTTCATTATTCATTTGCAAAGTTCAGTTATGCCGATGATACGTATCCATGACAGCTATACCGCCCACAGTGGCTAAATATAAACAGGCGGGCTGCCAGCAAGTTCCATTCACATTCACATCCACACGCGACGCCGCGGTTCAGTAAGTGAGAGCATAAGAATATGAGGAGCCCCGTTCTGAATATGCATCCGCGCATTGACGCCAACTGCACCGCCTAAACTTAGCTACGCAATTACTGAAACATACCTACTCCCATAATCGCTCTTCAGCCGGTTATCTCTCGCCGCTGTTTCGATCAGAATCCACGAAACCGGTGCCGGTCGGCAGGACGCCGCGCCGCCGCACGTCCCGCGGGGAAACCCGACCGCTTCCGGTGCTTCGAACGCGATTGATTTCCAACCCCCCGTTCGGCGTTCGCGTCGCGGAGGAAATCGGAACAGGGGTTGCGAAGGATCTTCTAATACGGTTTTTCTTTCCCCGTTACTGTCGCGATGGAAGATGATTCATTGAAATGTAAAATATCCTTGCGTCAGCGGTACGAAACGTTGGAAAACGGTAGCGAACGTTAGTACGTGCGAGGGATTTTTTAATAAGCGAAGGTCAACGAACTTGGTTATTTCGAATGGTTAGAAGGGTTATTTCTAAAGGGATCGAGAGATAAAACATCCGAGGTGGATATTTATACGAACGTTTGAAAGCAATGAATTCAACGGTGACGATTCGGTCGTTAATGTTTCGGCATCGGCGAATAATTCTTCAAGAATAGTTCCATTAATTGGCGGATCGGGGATGGTGGCGTCAACGGGGATGAATAAGGGGGTCCGGCGAGTGATGAAAATTGAATGAAACGTCGCCGGTCCTTTGTCGCGAGCAGCAGGGTAACGAAAGACGAAGGCTAAAGGCCACGGAAATTTGAATCTAGATTTAGAATCGGAGCCACTGGAGTGCAAGGGGACATGCAGGATGACGTAGATCCACCGGAAGTGGTTCATACTTCACGTGCGTTATAAAGACTGTCACTGTGGCACTGTCTAAAATTACGACGGCCGAACCCAACAGTGGCTTTAATACAAGCCGGCTCCGTGCGCAGGGTTGTCGAGTCGCTTCGGCGCGGCGCGGCGCGCTGCGTTCCTCGCCGGCGATTCCGCGGCGATCCGGCCGCGTAGGAAGATTCCCCGGTTTGAAAAATTGACGGCGAATCGATCCGTGAAACTCGAACGAATCCCGACCGCGTGAAATATGCAACCGGCAACAACGCGGAGAGAAACGACAAAGAGGAGCGCGCGCTCGCCGCGCGGACGGGCTGCGCTCTTAATGGAATTTTAAAAGAGTGACGGCCAGAATTCGACGACACGACAGGGGTGGCCGCAGGGATACATAAATTATGGACCGCTTTGAACGGGATCCGCTGGCCGCGCGCGGCCCGCTGCAATGAAACTTGTGAATGCGGAATCTGGGGCAACCGGAAGCGGTATTTTCGTTGCGCGGCTTT